AGACTTCTTTAGATATTAGCTGCAGATCCTACAGAAACCTGTACCTCACACCATCTGCACTAACCTGTAGCTTGTCAGCATCATCACCCACTCCACAGAGTAAACAGTAGCAAATCTCTCAATTTAAGTGTGGACTGGTAAGGATGGGCATCAAGCTGACCTTTAATGTGTCTTGTAGATCTGATTCGGTAAGGTTTGCAAAGCTGGATTTTCTAAAACAGTTATATAAGTCATCTCTCCATTGGATCCTACTCTCTGATCTTAAAACAGTATCTGTTTTCAAATCCATTACCCCACCTCTTTGATCCCTGATCCTTACAGGTAGTTAAGCCCCAGTTAACTGACCAACCACTGTACATTGTCTGTTTCAGCCTTGCCTGGCTCCGTATGTGCAGTAGATGAAGGCTGGATTGAGTAACACTTTCTTCTCCTTCATGAGTCTTATCCCCACAGCCACAGTCCCTGGAGGCAAAGTTTTAGGTCACTTGGGGCACAGGAAGCAAGAAACCTCTACTTCCAGAGACAAGTGAGAATAAGGCTCTATTGGACTCCTGGGGGGAACTCATGGAAATAATATTCACTCCTGAGAGGTAGTTTCAGAGAATCCATCTATCTCATTTCCTCCCTTGCTACCCTGTTTCTCGTGACTTCTTAACAAAGAAGAAGTCTAGTATTGCCTAATATTTCTCTTTCTTTGAGAAGCCTCACTGATAACAACTACCATGTTTGAAATAAAGAATGGATATGGATTCTTCATTTTTTTCCAGTAAAACATCTGCTTTCTGAGCTTTTGCTGGTTATCAAATAGTTCTCTAAGCATAGGTAATGTATCAGCTAATACAATCTTCACAATCACTCTGCAATATTGATTGGTGAATATTGCAACCTTTAATTCCTAAGTAAAGTAAAACAGAGCATCTACACTGTCCCTGGCTCACACACATGCCTGCATCAGCATTGTAAACAAAGCACCATAACAAAGGGTCTGCAACAGCCATGTCTGTATTACTGCCTCCCTAAGTGTGGGCAGTGGTCAATAGAATATAACCAAAGTAACAAAATCACAGAATGATAATTGTCTCAAGCCCTGTGTTCTTGACCAGTATCCACTACCTAACTGCCCTTAGGTGGTTATTATTTATTTTAATTCTATATTTTATTTGGTATAAGTATGTGTTGTAAGAATTATATAAGATAAAATATCAAGAGCAACTGTACTTCTCTGAAGATATTAGCCTGCTTTTTTGTTTTGTCTTTTTTTCTCATTTTCTATTAGTTCTTTGAAAAATTTCCATAATGTTTTGATCATATACATACCCTCCACTCCTCCCAGATTCATACCCCCTATCTAAACACCAAACCACCCAACTTTGTGTCCTTTTAAAAAAAATCCAGTGCAGTAAGTACTGCATGTACTCTTGGATTTGTGGGCTTCCACTGGAGTGTGGTCAACCTGCCAAGGGACTGCACACTTTAAGAAATCTGACTATCTCATTTCCAGGAGTTATCAACTGCCTATAGTTCCTGAGCTAGGGTTGAGAATTCATGGTCCCTCCCCACTCTGTGGTAGACTTTTGTCTGGCTTGAGCTTGTGAAGGACTTGTGCATGCTGTCACAGCTGCTCTTGTTTGGAATATACAATTGCCTTGCTGTATCTGTAAAACACTACATATAACCATTGTGTACACATGTGTGTACAGAGGGGTGAGAGGAGCCAAACAGGCCTTTTCTTAATCCTTAGATTCTGAAATATCTAGTGCTTTGTCTGACTGACACAAGGCAGATATTCAACAATCTTTAGTCAAATGTAAATCCAAGTTAGGCCAGATTCTCCAGTAGTAAATTCTAGAGCACTGTGCATTTCTTGATTCTTCCCATCTCTAATAATTCATTTAATAACTACATTTCAAACTTTATTGTGAAGGTGTGTTTGCTGCTCATGTGTCTATTGAATGCTCTAACCACATTGCCTAGTACACTATCTGGCATACAGACACAAAATATATTTAATAAATGTCATACAGGGCCTTTCTGTCCTACACACACTTGTTTGGAAGCTTCATTTACTAGTAGTCTTAGTACGAATGATATTATATTTGATAACAAAACATGAAACTATGTCCTACCTCCACACCTTGTGAGTTTTGATCACTTTTGAAAGGTCTTTAACTTACTTTGAGGTTTATATTCTGTCATCTCCCCTCTTGTGCATTTCACTAATGTTATATTAACTACAAATTTAATAAGTACATTATTTGGCTTTTCACCCATCTTGCTACAAAAACTGTAGATGTGCCTGTTGATTAAGTACTGACCACTGTAACAGAGCCCTAGTTCCTTCTTTCAAGGATTAAACATTCATTATGGAAAAGTATCCATCCTTTACTACACTTTAATTCCATTTATAACTTTCTGGTTTTTTCAAGTGTTTACAGTACATGTCCCTAGGACTGGGATCAAAAGGGCAGGAGAAAATAAAAGGTCAGAAATCCTGGAAATAATGAAGCAGAGCTGGAAAAGGCCTGGTATAAAGTATTGAGGGATTCCATGTCAGGACTCAGAATCACCCGTGGGCAGAAGTCACACTGGATGTCAATGCATCAGTATACAAAAACATAGTGATTTGATCCTAAAATACAATTTGTTCTCAGATTATAACTTAATTCATACAATGTTTCCCAGTATGTGCTTGTACAATAGCACATACTTTTGCTAAGGGACAGGTGATAATTTTTCTTTGAGAGCCATATAGTAAATACTTTTGACTTGTCAGTTCTCCAGGCTCTATAACAAATACTCAACTTTGTCTTTGTAACACAAATGTAGCCATTTATATTATGAAAAGGATGTCTGTGGCTCTCCTCTGGTAGAAACATGTCTGCAGAAACAAACTGCACATCTCATTTGGTCCAAAGACTGTAGGTGAACCAAAAATTTGGCAGTCTATACATGTGTGCAGAATTTATGCTCATGCACATGCACACATGCACCACCACCATCCCACACACATAAGCATATACACAAACACACACTCGCATAGGCATACATACAATTTTACTTTAAGTAACATTTCCCTCATCCTAGTGTTTTGAGAATGTCATCCCTTGGAATTATCCCTGAGAAAACATCTCTGCCTTTCCCAGAAAGCAAACATTCAACCACAGCATCCCATTGTACAGAAATAAAGGTTTAGTCTCACACAACTTTTCTATTATTTGGGCTTTGGAATACTTTGAAAAATAAACATGTTTATTTTTAATTACAAATTTGCCCCATCCTGATACATAAAAGATATACAGAGTATACTTTCTATGAGTGGATTTGGCAGAGATAACTTCATAAGACCTGAACAGAGCAGAAATTAAGGAACAAATGTCATGTAAGCCTCCTTCTGAAGAAGAAATGAAAACATGTCATCTCTTTCAAAGGGAATAAAAACTAACTGAAAAAATGCAAAATGTTTCATTACTTTTCAGAAATGTTTATTCACTTCATTAGCAATAAAAATACAGAAAATAGGATTTTTTTCTGAGATCCTGACACTAGATAGTAGTCAAAATAGACAGCTAGTCAAATTGAAACAAAGCTATTAAATATATTATAAAAGATCAATATTTCCTCTGCTTGTTAGTCTTTGTTAAATATAGCACTCAGGTACCTTTTTTACGTAATGGACAAAAATCAGGACACTGGTAATTTTATTATCCCTATAAAATGTAAAGATTCACACAAGTGTCATGAGTTGTTAATAAGCCAGGCAAGTTGGAAAATCCATGGTAGGCCACATTCACCACTGATTGGAGGGTCACTTTCTGGGACAGACAGGCCCCTAGAAGTCTATGGCTCACAGAAGCCTGCATTTCTTTGTGATTTTCAGGACCACATATGTTCTGTAGAGGAGAAAGGGGAAGGAGGAGGAGGAGGAGGGGGAAGAGGAGGAGGAGGAGGAGGAGGAGGAGGAGGAGGAGGAGGAGGAGGAAGAAGAAGAAGAAAAAGAAAAAGAGGAGGAAGAAGAAGGAGAAGAAGAGAGAACATGAAGTTGAGTCAGTAGGGAGGTGGGGAGGATAGGAAAGGAGTTGAGGAATAGCGGAACAAAATCAACATATACTATATGAAAAGTTCAAATAAAAAGATTTAAAATACATTTAAAACACATAAAGATGGAAAGAAAAAGTGGTGGTGGGAGATGGGGGGTATCGGATAGGTCAGAATGGGGGAGGGTATCTTTAAAACACATTACACCTGTGTATGAAATTATCAAACAATAAAATAAAACAGACCTATAAGCGCCTTGAAAACAGGGAGCTGAAAGTGCTCTTCTCTCTTTATTTACACCTTTGCATGGTTCACTGAGCTAGTTTTTCATGAAGGGGATGCATCCACAATGTTTCCTGGTTGACTGTTTCCAATTCATAGTGGAGACTTGCTTAGACCTCCAATTACCTAGGCACCTTTGTTTGCCACCTCATTCTCTTTCGCATTAGAGGAAGTCTCTACTCCATCTTCCAACATGTTTTATCACAATGTTGCTTAAGAACATTGAGCTCTATATACCTTTGTTTTATGTTTCCATAGCTCACTGGTCTCTATCTCAACATTTGCCCAATGTGTCCTTCCAGTCTTCCTGTAACTAATGTCAATATCATCTAGATTTTTGTCCAAAAACTCAGTCTGAACTACAACCCCATAGCCAGCCTAGGTTCTAGAAATTAACACATTTCAATTTCTTTCTAAGTTCTGTCTGCCTAAAAAAAATTGAGCTTTTTTATTTTGTTGTGTTTTTTTTTCTTCAAGTATGTGTCCTCATCCACTTCCATATTAATAGGTTCAGGGACTATATTTCTCCTCCAACATGTTTTTTTCAATTTGTTCTTATCCAAGACTACTTTGGTTAAATATGCCACATATTATTGAAACGATGAGTTAATGGTTGACATAAGTCAACAGCTAAATCTTGCAATTTTCAAATGTGTGGATTATAAACCTATCGGACTTCAGATTCAATTCAGCAAAGCCTTAACCCTCTGTGAGACCCTCTTCACAGCCTCTTTCACTTCCTTATTGCGAAGGGTATAAATAATGGGGTTGAGGAAAGGGGTGAGAAAAGTGTATACCAAGGCAATAAGCTTGCCTCTGCCCTCAGCTCGAATGTCCGGTGGCCCGACATAGACAATGAAGGCAGAGCCGAAGAACAGTGTCACAACGGTTATGTGGGATGAACAGGTGGAGAAGGCTTTGGCCCGACTAGCAGCTGAAGGCAGTTTCAGCACAGATTTCACAATACCTCCATAGAGGGTCAAGATGAGGACAAGGTTGCACGTATTGATCACACCAATCACAACAATATAAACCTGAGCATGCCAGCTTGTGTCCACACATGCCAACTGCATTAGTGGTGCCAGGTCACAAAAATAATGGGCCACCTCTTCCAAGCAATAGGGTAAAGTGGCAGTGAGACTGGCGGGTACCAGGGCAGCTGAGAAGCCAGCCACCCATGTCACCCCAACTAGCCGTAGCTGTACCTGTCTGCTCATGAGAGCATGGTAGTGGAGTGGGCGACAGATGGCCAGGTAGCGGTCCAGAGCCATGACACCTAACAGGTAGCACTCAGTCATGCCCAAGGAGTGGAAGACATACAGCTGGAAAAAGCATGCAGCTGATGGGATGGGTGAATGTCCATGGAGCAGGGTATGTAGCAAGGTGGGCACTGTGGTGCTGACATACCAGAGTTCCAGGAAGGAGAGGACACTGATAAAGAAGTACATGGGAGTGGACAGTCCTGAATCCGCTTGAACAAGGATAATGATGAACAAGTTCCCTGCAAGTGTGAGGAGATAGATGCACAGAGTCCCAAAGATTGCAAGATGTTGCAAGGTACCAGTGGGAGTGAAACCAGCAAGGATGAAAGTCTGGGTCCAGGTGTAATTAACATGATCCATGATTCCTGGGAATGAGAGATAAAGGCACCAAATGAGCATTTTTAGGCTTTTTCCTCTTGAGATTTTTTCCAGAGCCCAAAGACTAGAACACACAAGCTAAGAAATAACTTATATTCTATCCATTCTGTTTTCTCTAGTCTACAAAAGAGGAATCAAGTACCAGAAGTCAGAAGTGATTTGCTCAATATCTGTTGCTAACAAGGATGACATAGAGTTCTTGTTCCTCAATTCACAGACCAGCATTTGTAGACTATGGCAGCAGAGCCTTGGGCCTGGGATTTTCTCCTTTCTGCTTCAAAAAAATAAAGATAGGAAAAGCTATCTTTCTCATCCTCCTATCATTCCTAGTGAAATGTTCCCTTGATATTTTGAAATAATGGCTCTTATTATATACTGGATCCAACAATCAGGGTGGAGTAGGAAAAGGAGACTTATTTTTTTAAACAGTTAAGTCTCACTGGGGGAGTCTCCTGGAATGTAGGATTCTCATCAAAGGTTGAAAGAGGAAAAGATGGATAAAAAACAAATCTGTCCTCAAAGCATTTCTCAAAGCTCAGAATTTGGGACAAGCTGAATAAGCAATGAGCCTGCAGGATGTTTATTTCTGGAAGGATGCTAATGGGAGACAAACTTCAGGATTCTGCAGGGGATAGGGAGAAGGGAAACAGTATGAAGCCAGGCTCTTTGAAGTGTATAAAGAGTTCCTGAGGTAGTATACATAGCACCTTCTTTCAGGAATTGTATTTCTGAATTTGTTTTACCATCAACTCAAAGCAAATGTTGGTTCAGATCACTGCTTCCTCTTTGTTTGAACTTTTTTAAATGAAGAAGTTTAAGTTAGAGGTTCATGAAGCTCATTGTAAGTTACCACTATGTGATTCTCCGGTCATTAATTGATGTGCGTTGGGTTAGTATGGAAATGGAAAGTCTACATTAATATCCCTAGATTGTCACTCCCATACTCCAAGGGAAGTTCCTTGGATGATCCATGATTCCTGGGAATGAGAGATAAAGGCACCAAATGAGCATTTTTAGGCTTTTTCCTCTTGAGATTTTTTCCAGAGCCCAAAGACTAGAACACACAAGCTAAGAAATAACTTATATTCTATCCATTCTGTTTTCTCTAGTCTACAAAAGAGGAATCAAGTACCAGAAGTCAGAAGTGATTTGCTCAATATCTGTTGCTAACAAGGATGACATAGAGTTCTTGTTCCTCAATTCACAGACCAGCATTTGTAGACTATTTCTCTTCTTCAGCCACTCTTACCTCTTGTGTGCCACCGCCAACCATTACCTCACTGCTTTGGTTACAATAGAACTAGTCTCATCTTTCTTGATATCACTTCTATCCCAAGACACTTCCTTACTTATAGTCCATGCTCCTGGAACTGCAGGTCTCCAACAACCTCCTTAATAAATGTTCCCTGGGGCTACTATGACTACCTCTCAGGATAGATCCCCCTGGGCCAAGAAGTTAGGCTCAGAGCAGTGAATCAGATGAGACATGTTTCTTAAACACCTTAGTCCTGTATCCTTCGCTTTGGAGTTCTGAAGTCTAATCCCAGGGATATTGCCTTCTTGTAATGACCATATAACATGTCAGTAAAGAAACAATCCAACTCCCATATCTTCATTCATGCATGCAGAATAAGAACTTGGGGAACCCAGAAATGGATTGTCTCTTAAAAACCCCATTTGCTAGGAGATTTGTCATTGTTCACCACTATTTGCCTTAACATCTAACAACCTAATCCTCATAGGAATTGGTCCTTTTATGCTGAACATCTCCACCTTCATTCCTCCTACCATCACCTGACACTGCAGTGGCCACAATAAGTTCATTGTTCCAAACACTGCTTACTGACTATTCAAAATAATATTCCAGGTTTTATTTTACTTTTTTTTTTTTTTTTTTTTTGGTTTTTCGAGACAGGGTTTCTCTGTGTAGCTTTGCGCCTTTTCCTGGAACTCACTTGGTAGCCCAGGCTGGCCTCGAACTCACAAAGATCCGCCTGGCTCTGCCTCCCGAGTGCTGGGATTAAAGGCGTGCGCCACCACCGCCCGGCTTATTTTACTTTTAAAATGATTGATTTATGTGTATTGTGAATGTGTGTGCCTATGTCCATGTGCGCAGGCGTGCAGCTGTCTACAAAGGCCAGAGGAGGGCATCAGATCATCTGGAGCTGGAGTTACAGACAGTTGTGAGTTGCAGAGATGGGTGTTGGGGCTTAAACTCAGGTCCTCCGTAAGAGCAGCAAGCATTCTTAATTGCTGAGCAATCTCTCCAGCTCTCCTAAAATACTGTTATAAATGTTGTATTTTAAATCCCCATCAGCAGGATTGCTACCAGTACTCAATCCAGTCCACCATTTTACCCTGGACATCTTAATAAGAAAAAATTAGTTTTTCACAAAATATTTCCACTCTCATTTTTTCCAAAACTCCTTATATCCATATCTGAGCTTTGATCTAGACTGAGTATTATCTCCAAGTGTGTACTTTGATAGATTCAGAGTCCAGATAAATAACAGAATAATTGCATTTATCCACTGAGTGTGAAGCGTTTGACTTATTCGTTGATCTAAAAGTACTTTTAAAAAAATTTCAGAGCAAGAGACTGTTCAGAGTAGTTGTTAAATTAACCTTAAGAGAAAGAAATAATGTATTATATTAAGAAACAGATAGTGCATGAAGGGAGGAGTCCTGTGGAACCATAGTCGCAGGATCTCTATGATTTGGGGCAACAGCAGGATATCCAAGAAGAGTTTTGGTGAGGGTCCACCCCTCCTTGCAAATAAAAAGTCTAGACATGAAGCCATTGAAGAAAACTCTTAAAATTGTGATAGGGATGCTGAAGTTTATCTCTTCACAGTTGATGGCTTCTGGTAGGGGTAAGGATGGGGAAGGACTCACTTTTCTTTAAGGGACTGGCCACTGGGAGCTTGACCACATCCATTGAGTACAGGAGCAACACAAAATAGAGTTGGCATTTCTTTTTCTTTCTTCTTCTTTTTTGCTGGGAGGAGGGCACAAGGGTGGGAGTGTGGACCTGGGAGGACTGTGAAATGACTGTAATTGGGGTGTATTATGTGACTCTCCCAAACAATTAATAAAAATATTACACTGGAAAAAGAAAAAAAAAAAAGAAACAGATCCCATTAAGTGGATAGAAAATACTAAGTCCCTGAGATTGGAAAAGCCTCCTATGGAAAGCATAGCATTGGAGGCCAAAACATAAAACATACATTGTTTCTAAGTGCTAATAGAACTCCATGATGGTCAGATTCTATATCTTACTTCCTTAGTAACACCTGACTATTCACTGGGCTAGATAGTCCTTCAATACAATGCTGTATCTTCTACAGTCTCAAACAAGGGACCACGGTTTACCCAACCCCCTAAATTAATAACAGGGCCATCCTCAGAGAAGCAAGGTTAATACTCCCCGTTTCTCCTTCCCTTCATGTCATATTTGCCTTCCTTCATCCCTCTTCTGTCAGCAAAGCTCTGAGAAGAATTGCCACATAATTTCTACATTTAAAGGGATATCTCCATTTGCACGTCTGAAAGCATGATATTAACTGAGCAGATTGTACACTCCGTACCCTGTGTCTCTCAGGTCATTATTAATGAGATACAAATACCTAGCATAGAAGTGGTAGAACTATCTAGCATCAAGTAGAAGCGTAGTGTATACCATCAAGCTGTAATCTGGAGCAAAGGATGGCTTTTAAAATTATCCATATAATTTTTTTTAAAATGAGACAGGATAGAATATGTATAAAAATTCATCAGATCATTAATACATTTTCAAAAAAAATAGCACATGCCTATGAGAAATTAGAAGTGAATAAATAAATGCTTTATAAGGTTAGGGACATTGAAGAAGAGTGAGAAGAATCATAAGGGCCAAAGGTGGTGGATGAGCACAACAAACTGTTTTCTGGACATAGTAGGGCAGATACACATGAACTCACATCAGTTATGACAACATGCATAAGACTTGTGTAAGAACAAGTCAGACCAAATTGTAGCATGGAGAGGAGAGGTGAGCATGAAGTCTTCCTCTTAGCTGAGGCTATTGGTAACTGATAGCTTTGCGGAGTAGGAGAGTCAGTTTTCTTTAAGAGTATGACACCTCATAAGTCCACCAAGCTGTGACCTCTGACCAGCCAGCAATGTCTTCCAACATCCTCCAAGTTCCTCTTTCTCTCCAGAAGTCCCACCTGTCCTCTCCTGCCTGGCTGTTGGTCAACCAATCAGAAGGTGTCTTAGCAGAGATACATCTTCACAGTATACAAAAAGATTATGCCACAACATCTCAAAGTAGTTTTAAATTGTATTTCCAGGATAGCTAATGATGTTGAACATTTTGAAAATGTTTATTAGATATTTGTATTCATTCTTTTAGGAACTCTCTGTTCAGAAGTGTGCTGAAATTTTTATTGGGATAGCATTGAATCTGAAGATTGCTTTTGATTTCCAATCACATTAAATGGTTGAGTAAATAGGAATGAATCTGAGAATAGATGAAAAAGACATGATTACTGCAAAGTTCACAACACTGCAGAGGCAAAATAATCTTCCTTTTCATCCTATCATTTCTATATCCTATTTCCCTTTTTTCCTGTAGAAAGAGATCTTTGAATTTAACTCTTTTGCTTAGCTTTTTTTTTTTTTTTTTACTATGACCAATAAAAACTTGTAACCAACTCCTTTTAAATGATAACATCCATAATCCATTTTTGGGAATGTGGAAATAGTTCTCTAGACTACTTTCTGTTGTTTGGGGGCACTGGTAATCTTTGGAGGAACCTTGAGAAAATCAGAATAATTGTTAGGCCTTGACTGGAATAGTTTGTGATGCTGGACTATCTCATTCAGCAGCCTTAAAGTGGTTCTGGATGGTGGATCTCCTGGGACATCCGTTTTCATTGGTGTCTGGTTGCCTTGCTCTGAAAATACATAAACTTTTAAAGATAATATACATATCTGCAATA